GCCTCCTTAATTACCCAAACTGATACGTTGTTAGTGCTGTTAAAGGCGCTTTTGAAGCGTCCCTTATCTCTAATGGTCCGATAATACTAAAATTAGATCTAACTTTCTATTTACTATCTTATAAGTCCCCAATTCGAAGATTAACTAATTGAAACTTAAAGCAATGGATGACTAGTTGTTCACTAAACATCATCGAATCTACAAGACCACACCCCTTTCCACGTGCTGACTCGAATGGTTTTCGCTGATGCGCTGAATTAATTGCAGCGGGGGCGCACAGGCTTAACTAACACGGAAGAGAGAAAAACAAAATCATAATCGAAAATCCACAATAAGAGTGGATTTGAAAATATAAATATTTATCGAAGAACAAACCTTTGTCATGCGATTCCGGTTCTGGTCCAGTGACAAAAAGCACAACAAATGGAATGTTTTTGATGTGTTGGACGCTGTTCTAAGCAAAAACGAATAAACCCTCGACCATAGCCGCCACTACGATTTCCTTTTCAGTAAGAACGAAAGTGAAATGTCGTTGACCGATAGGCATTTTTACGACATCAGAACTCCAGTTCCACTCACAATTCAAACAAACACGAAACAAGAACCACAGCTTAGAAATTTCGACAATAAAGGTACTATTTAATTGAGACATCACAATCTAGGAGTAGTTGGCTACGCGTACACAAAATTGCAATTGTTTTGCCAGATCAAAACTGGTTTCCATGGTGGTTCTTCTCGGATTTTAACCTTGTCTATTCAATTGAATTCAGCGTGTGATTAAGTTTGCGATGGATGTTAAGCTAAAAACATGATTGAGTTAAGTGGTAGAAGCGTTAAGCACGTCAAGTTGGCATTGTTACACATGTGGACCTTAAATAAGCGAGCAAGGGTGGACCCGAGGTTCCTCCTATTGATCGCTGAGATATTTACAATGAATTAGCACACACTTCCCAGCACATTTTCACCCTCAGTTCTGGTCAAGTCAAGTCAAAAATCTGGGTCAAAGAAAGAATGTATTTACGTGCACTATTTTATCGTCATCGCCGATGTGCACAACTACAGCATGATGAAATTCCTTCGAAAAATTTCATACCGCTGATCTCTTTTTGTAAACAACGATTTGGTGTTCTTATTATACTAATTTCTACCGAGGTGAGCACCCAACCTCTTGATGTTTCGAGTCAGAGATCTAGAGGAGTCGGTGAGACAGTAGCACATATCTGTGGATGGAGTCGAAAATACCGATGAAAACGGGAGTTGACTGATATTTCATCTAAAGAAGAACCACGACCGTATCTTGTGACGACTCTTCTGACTTGTTTAGGAGAATAAAACATGATGGTCCCACTTGTATGTGGGTGCGTGCGGTACACGTGTACTTGCAGCCAAGTAACACGCTTTTTTGTAAAGAGGTGCATTTTGACGGTTGCGTCATGCCTGCGAAAGTTGCGTCAAAGTGATCATCACATGAGTCATCTGTGATAGTGGGTTAAACTCATGGACTTCGTGTTGAGAGCAAGTCTTTAGGTGGCTTGACTCGTTCTCAATGCGGGTTCTCGACTTTCCTATCTGTTTAATTGAGACTCTGGGACTTATTCAAGTACGGCTTTAAACCGATGAGGATGAACTCGATCAGAATGTAGCAAACTGAGGAAACAATTCTCCTATAGTAAAAAACAAAATCTACTTTATTTGCAAATACCGAAGTGACACAGCACAATGGGGTGTCGAATGTACACCACTGTCACTCAAACCACAGTTGAGCTGTCAATCTAAATGCATTTACGTGGGTTATTTCGGCAAGGTGCTTAAAAACAGCGAGTGGGTGGTTGTGTAGTGCTCTGATTGTTTGTTTGACTCCTTGTTTTGGTTTTTGCGGTTACCCTATAACGAGGCGGCATGCATCAACGTCTTCTCCATTTCATTGCTCCTCTTTCTTTTTCTGGAAGTTCCATAGGACTCTACAGGGTTGTAAATTCCAGTTCTAACGCCGAACTTATATTAATTTTTGGTTGGCAGTCACATTTCAAGTCTCACTGATATCCTGTTCATATCGTCAACACTGGTTGTCAGCAGAGGTTTTAGAAGTCAGTGTGAATTAGGGCGAAATTTCCACCTCATAAACTCACAGCAGGTGGGAAAGAAGGGTGACAGGATCGACCCAGCCAATTTTAATGACTTTCATCCCTGGAATCCTTTCCCCACTCAGCAAATTAAAACCTTTTGTGAGTGAAGCAATGATGGCCACTTTATTATCCTGATCTGTTTTTGACTCTGGAAAATTCAACACTTGCCTCTCCTCAATTAGGCCAAATCCAGTCATTTTAGTTGGCAACAAGTAAGGTTGCGTTACCGACCTTCTTTAACTAAATGTTGGCGAAATGACGGCTTTTTTGTCGGGTTTAGAAACCCAGATGGACTGCTCTGTAGGATTACGATTTCTCTACAGGAGGCACTTATCATTCCAAAGCAATCTCATACACTCGTCTTAAAGCGTTTTATAGCCTAATTCAATGGCTAAGAATAGGCAGATGTTGAGTGCTGTGACAAATGGAAAAAAAAGGCAGGGAGAGCTTAAGCACCCACTCATTCACCTTCGTTTTTATCGCCGCCTCCCGCGCTCCGCCTTTGCCAGCACGAACTGGAGCGAGATGTGCGGGTGTGATGGAGGGAGGAGGCACTGTGCGATTCCGGAGTGCTTTTTGCAAGCATTTACGCGTTTACTTTTTTCCTTACTTCGGCTAGGAGTGTAGCCTAGGAATCGACTTTGAAGAGCAAGCTCGTTGACTGGTACCTTCAACTTCACAATGTAAAGAGTGAATTCGCACGTTGTGGGCGGAGATCGTGGACAAGAAGCGTGAGAAATTACAATGTAATGACCTCCGCATTTTACAGCCTGATTAGGGTGGTAAAATAGTGAGTGTTTATGCCGAAGAGGGTATGTTCAGACCCCTCCCTTCAAAGGTGGCTAGAGAGTTAACATCAATCCTGCAAAAAGGTAGGTCAGAACATGAAAAAAGGAGCTTTACACATGATACAAGCGCATCCACACAAACTGCTATTTTGCGATATTCTCATTCGATAGGCGTGAGACTTGAAACAAATACATGTTTAACTTCTTTTGTTTACAAAGAGCGAGGTTATTTTTGGCGTGTAGGTGGAGTAAGCAGAGACTCCACCACCACTTTAGCAGGGAGCCTACTCGTCAAGGCCTGTCACAATAGTCCCTGCGCTTAAATGAAAATCCCATCGCGAGTGTTTTACATTAGTTTTTGCAAATGGGACGAAACAATGGAAGCCGAGCTGGGGCATAGCAACAACGTCAAGGTTGTGGATTCTCAAATGGGCACCTGGCTAACAATGCTTGCACAACATTTACCTACTCTTTCATAAGTGGGTAGCATACTACTTATTACTTTATAAGTGGAGTGAATTGTACTGACATAAAATAGGGCGATTACAAGTAAACCAATGCATTTCTTCTACCTCCGAAAGTTTCATCGTAAAGTAAATAGTCCGATGACACGAGAAAATCGGACCATTTTAAGTGCTATTGTGCAAGGTTTGATTTTACACACAGATAACGGACACATGGTGAGGGTGCACACTCGTTTGCGAGTTTACGTGGTAGCACCCACACACACACACACACACACACACACACACACACACACACA